ACATAAATGATATACCTTCTATTAATCGTTTTTCTTAAGACTCTGCCTTGGGTGACACATTTAGAAAGTTATCTCATCCAGAGATCAGGTATGTATATTCACTCATTCTTTTATAGGATCTTATGCCTTTTAGTTTTATGGTAAATGTCAGCTTTATTTATGTGTGTATTTATAGGTTTAGCTAATGAAAACTTTTAAATTCAAACGAAAAAATTATTGGGGCAATATATTAAAGCTGACATGAGAAATGAGGACTTTCAGACAGTCCTTTGTCCTTCTGATGGCATTCTTCTTTTTCACATTTATTTACTTTCCCTGGATGACATCATCATCACTTATAGCTACTACATTCACAATGATGACCAAACTTCCAGTCCAACATGTAAAGTAATTCTCCCAGACATGAGAAATAGAAAAGAGTCAGAGTCAGGGGAAATGAAATGAGACCCAGGGGCAAAAGAACTGAAGGGAGAAGATGAATGTTGTGAATGTTGGGCCGGCACTGTCATTCAGCTTCATTTCATTAATCTTCTGTTTGGTCTGGCCAAGGTCAATATGATTCCAGCTTCAAACTCCTGCTGTAAGAAACATGAGAGCTATCTAGAACCACAAAATTAAAAACTGCAGGAAAGACTGAGGAAAGAAAATATTCATGGCTTCTTCTCGAAATATGCATTGGATGGGAAATCAGCAATCAGGATTTCCATAATGATTGAAGAATATACACCTACTTACCTGTCATATTCATGAACTGAAAAAGAGGAAAAATGTGTTTAAGAGTCATTTCCATCTGAGTATGTCTTGTATATCTACTTTTTGCATAAAGAGAATGCTATATTTGCCACTATTTAAAGAAAAATTATCTTCTATTTGAAAATAAAAGCCAGCAAATTAACAAAAAGAGAGAAGTGAGTTGGGCTCAATTTCCAGAGATAAATCAATGAAAATTTAAAAAGATTTTCATATTCTTAGAAGTTAATTTAAAAGAGAGAGAATTCACAGGACTCGGTCGCGAGTGGTTCAGGTGACAGAGAGTTTGGGGTTGTTTTGTTTTTAATAAATTACTCATCAGTTTAGGATCTTCTATGTGTTCTGTGAGGGGAGGCACAGGGGAAATTGACAATTTAAAATGAAGAAAATAGACACCTCAACAGTTAAAAAGGGACAGACCTAGGATTGGAAATTATGTTTTCAAATTATAATTTTGGTATTCCTTCTACTCCTTTTACCATAAAATTCTAATTTTCTTGGATTTTTGTAATAAGGCCAAATGATAAGCTGGTTATAAACAATTGCAATGGCTTGGTAATATTAGAGCATTAAGATAAGGTCGAGGAGACAGGAAAATTATAGCAGGAACAAGTTGTCATCATACCCATCCATCTGTTTAATCAGGGTGGCTTTGAGCCAAAGAAAGAAGAGGAACTGTAAAAAACTTGTGTGACACCCAAAATTCCAGAAACAGCTTTCCTGGATTTTAACAAGAAAAAAGATTACTTCTAACCATTCTCTTAAAGGAAGGCATGCAGCCGGTTGTGGAGCTCGAGGGAAGAACATGGGCTCTATTATGGGGCAAGTTCCAGCTCTGCCACTTATTGTGTGACTTTGAGCTAAGTCACTTATCTAAGCCTTGCTTTCCTCATCTAGACAATAGAGGAAAAGAAAGCAGCTACCTCATAGAGTTTCTCAGAATTAAATTCAAAAATATATTCAATAATCTATGTAAAGCATCTAGTAAAGTGCTGGGCACAAGGTAAGCAGAATAATGATGTCTTGCTGTGGTTCTTGTCACTATAAGGGGCACAGATAGTTCCAAGACATTTCTTCCTGATGGCTTTCAGTCCCAGAAACTAATATCCCACTTCTTTGCTCTTAAATCAAAGATTAAATCCTGATGTTTTCTCCATGATAATAACAAAATTTGAAGACAGAAGAAAGTCTGATTTTATTTGCTATGTAATCTCAAGTCAGCAATTTGATCTTTTTGAATTTCATTCCTTATCTATGAATTGAGACACCAATAACATCTTATGAAGTTGTCTGGAGGGCTAAATAAAATAGACAGGTAAGAGATGGTTATTTTTGCATCAAAGCCTCTGTAGATTCAAAAAGTTGTACAACACGGGTTGTAATTACTCATCACTCCACATGCATATGTAAAAGTGGCATTACTATCAGCAGAGCCTCACTGTGTTCCCACTATTTTTCAAGGCTTATTTTCCTTATAGCCATTTCCTCTTTCCAAGGAAATTCTGGACTCCTTTATTTTGACCAAAACAGATGACAGGTGAAGAGCCTTTATTTGTTTACTGCACAAAAGAGCCCAGGATTCTGAAATGCCATGGTGATTACTGCTCTATGTGCTAACCAGACCGTTTCAACTACTAAGAAGAGCACCAGTTCACAATCTGTGAACTCCCCAAGGGTATAATATCAATTTCTCTTTTTCCTTTGCAACCCTAGCACAGCATCTAACACCAAGAATTAACTCCAAAAAAAAAAAAGTAGGTTAGGTTGGATTATGAAGGCCTTTTGTGTCATGACAGGAATCCAGATATGTCTTCAGGAGGTGATAATGAGCAAGTCAAGGTTTTTCAGCATAGGATTAACCCAATCATTTTTGTGTATTAGAAAAATCACTCTGGAAGTTGTGTAGAAGTTGGAGGATGTTTGGTATGGAGGCATGACCTGCATAATCAACATAATCAAGGAAAAGGAAAATAGTCTAAGAATTCTGCCTAATTAGGAAGGCAAGTATTTAAAATAATTTTTAAAATATTTTCATCAATATCCTCAACATCTTATTATGTTCAATAATATAATTAATACCTAATAGTTACTGAAAATTAGAAAATATAGAGAGATAAAAGGGGAAAAATGAACTAACCACATCTTGCCTCTCAGAGAGACACTATATTTTGGAGCACAACTACCTGCAGATTTTTTTCTTGAATGTGATGTGTGTGTGTGTGTGTGTGGAGAGAGAGAGAAGAGGTGAGAGAAGGAAGAGAAACTCAGATATGAAAATAAATAAAAACATTTTAAAAAGCAGGAAAAGGCAAACCCACAGATAGAGGTAGACATATGAGGAAGAATTTTTATAAGATTGAATGTCAACACATACAACCCAAAGTTGGTAAATTGAGAACACTCAGAAGAACTAAAAGTGGACACTATGGGCAGTGGGCCTACGAGTGGGAATATAGAGAGGCAGAGTTTACTTTCAAAAATATAGCTTGAGATATAATTCACATGCCAGACAATTTACCCTTTTAAAGTGTATAAATGAATGACTTTTAGTATAGTGACAAAGTTGCGCATCCATCACCACAACCAATTTTTAAGCTTTGCTTCAGCCCAAAAAGAAACCCCACCCAAATTAGCTAACACCCTCCAATTGCTCGCATCTCCCACTCAATGCTAGGCAACTTCTAATCTACTTTCTGTCCAAACGGTGTTATATATTCAGGATGTTTCATAGAAATGGAATAACATAATACATGGTCTTTTGTAACTGGACTCTTTCCCTTAGCAAAATGTTTTCAATATTCATACATGTAATAGCCTAAGACTTTAAATTTAAATTTTTCTGTACTAGTTTACTTGATTTTGTATATACCATTGCAATTTCTTGCTCTTACAAATCTAAAAAAATGGAAAAAATAATTTTCTGCATATTGTTAAATACTAATGAGATAATTGCTTTCTACAATCTGTATTTTTCACTTTCAACCATGTGACAAATGAGAGCGATTAAGATCTAGTAAGCCAGGTATTTTGCTAAGTACTTCCATGCATTGTCTTGGTTAATATGCACAAGAAAGCTTTGCAGTATTATACTTATTTTAATAGAAAACCAAGCCAATTTAGAGATCACAGAATTAGTAGGTTGTAAGTCCTAGATTTTGAAACCAAGGCGTCCACCTCTAGGACCTGCATTTTTCAGAACAGTAAATATAGATGCCTTGACACTTTTAAATGTATTAGAACTTAAAAATGTAGACCCCAATCATACAAAATAACGGTAGTTACAAGAAGCAGCTTGTCTTTGAATAAAACATGATGTTTTTCACATAGTATCAAAAATTTTAACAATCAAAGCCAAAAAGAGAAACTATCAGTGATTCTATAGACTGTGAAAGGACTTTACAGGCTGTTTTCAGCTTTCCCACAGTATACTTAAGATATCGTTTGAATGTAATGGCTGAGTTACATGTACCCAGGCTTTTCAGAGATATTCTATTACATAAAGCAAGATACCCCTGAATATGTACAGTTGCTCTTTTGCAAAGTGCAACACTAGAAAATAATGCACGGCTACAGAGAGAGTGTCTTACTTAGCCATAATATTTCTTATCCCCTTAGAATGAAGGGATATACTTAGATATCATAAGCACTCCCAAGGTAGCAATTGTGAAGCCAAAAACATAAATCAAAATATTTAGCAATTCTGTGTTTGTGTTTGTTATTAATACACACTGTTCTGTTAAGGCTTCCCTTTTGGTAGGACTATTGCAGACTGAGGAATGAGCTGCTGTTCATGCATGATTCCATATGGCAAAAAGAACTATGTTCAAGGGGTAAAATTAAGCCATCTGTGGCTGTGTTCATTTTATTCTATTAAACTGATACTTTTAATGGTAAATCATTAAGATAAATAAACATATTTCTCCTTTGTTAGATGTCATCTTCATTTTTAAAAATGTATTTAACTTGCAAATTTTGCAAAGTCATTGGCATTTTTTATTTTTTGATGATTTTCATGATCATACAGCTGCTTCTCCTTCAAAAGCAAAACGCAGTAATAATACATGCTACCAATTCTATAGCTATTTCTTCCCATAGAAAAGGTGAAAATGTCATTACAGGCTTTTACATGTTTCTGTTAAATTCTAGAAATAAACAATAAAAGATAAAATTATTAATTCCTGGTTCATTACCAAAGCGATGAAGTTGTCACTGCTGAGAAATATTCAAGGGACATAATGCATGCAAGGCTGTGTTTTTAAATAAAGTTTATTAGAACCAACACAAAGTAGGGATTCAATAAAAAACAAGTTGAATGAATAAATGGAGGAGCAAATGAATTAAAACAATGGTTCCCAAATTCAACTCTCGGTTTTCCCTTATTCTTGAGAAAATATATTTCTTGGACATTTCAAGATGTTGGAATGGTATGTTTATCTGTGGGACAATTATAAAAGACATAACATACACTAAGAAAGAAACAGAAGAAAGGTTTGATATGATAATGACTGAGAATTTTCAAAATTGATGTTAGGCACAAAACCATAGATCCAGGAAGCTCAGAGAATACCAAGCAGTATAAATTCCAAAAACTCTGTACCTAGGTATTTCTTATTGAAACTGTAGAAAACTAAAGACAGTAGTTTTAGTTTATAAAAACTGTAGAAAACTAAAATCTTGAAAGAAGCTAGAGGGAGAAAAACATGTTACCTATAGAGGAGCAAGAATAAGAATTACATCAGATCTCTCTTCAGAAACCATGCAAGCAAGAATAGAATGGAGTAAAATATTTAAAGTGTTTACCAAAAAAAAAAAAAGAGAGAGAGAAATTATGAAACCAAATAACATATTCATTAGCAGAGGATTAAATTTGCTCAAGTAACACATAAAGTCATTTTACCCAGAGTTTATGAAATACAGGAAGGTTTTAAAGCAAATAATTATCATGAGACTGTACAATTTTGTAGCATTCATTAAGATTATTTTTTGTGCATTAAAAAGTGCTGTAAGCTATCTTCACACCTTACATTAAAAAATAAGTGACATAAGAACAGGCTAGTTTATATGTGTACTTCAATATACTTTTTTCCAATCAGCAGTACAAAAAGAAAGCAAAAATTTTTTTGAGGCATACTATACTTAATATTCATGATTTCTATCATTATAACTAAACTGTAGAAACTGAATGTTTTTTCAGAATATTTTCCCTAAAAGTATTCTAAACTCCCATGAAGTTTCCTGTCTGCTATTTTCTCTTTCATTAGAGAACAATGTTGATACCATTTCCAAGATGCCGTTTTCACCAGTTCACCATGTGACAAGCTAAGCTTCACTACGTACATTCTTTGTAGCATGGAGAAACCACAATTGCAGAATTCTATTTAGCATGGTAAAAATATAGCCTGTTATAAAATTTAAAAATAAATGTTAAGTATGTCTTTGTAAGTCTATCATTCAGGAAATTTTATATGATTAGCTTCCTATAAAATAAGAAAAGTTGAATAAATCAACAAGACAAAATGTGATTTAAAAATCTGAGCAACATTGCATGTATTAATGGTAACTTTGTCACTCAGTCTAAAATGGAAAAAGGAGATAAGAATTTCAGAATTCTATATTGTATTTTTCTATTAATATAGTAATTCACTATATAATTAATCAAGTATTATACTGTATTTTCAGATTAAAAATAAATCAACATTCCTTTTTATGTTACCTCACCAATAACTAATAAGTGATTACTTAAGCTAGAAACTCAACAGTTACTAAATCATTGCTTATATTTATTAAATTATACAGCAAAGAAATATCTCTATTAATTTATTGCTCAAGATTTTTTCAGAATCTCATATGTTGCTGAGAATGAAACATCTTTTCTGTAAATAAAATACACTGTTGTAATGCACACACAAAAATTGGCTTGTGTTTAATTAGGAATTAGTGAATGACATGAAACAAAAAGCACCTCAGTAAGGTCACTACGTAGAAATCTGGATAGAAATCTCTGCTGTCTTAATGTGGTGTATGATAAGGTTTCTTAAATGCCTCACTTTTTTTTAAGCTAAAAATCCATCAACTAGTGATTTGCAGCTTTGTGACAGAATTCCTTTTCATGTGTACTTTAAATGAACCATTGTACCCAATGACAATATGACTTCACAAACTTGGCAAACATGTAAGAGAATAAGGACCAAAACAAAATGAAACAAAAAATTCTGTCTATAAAATATAGGACCCCTTAATAACATGTAAACTGTTAATATTTTCTTTACATATAACACAAAATTACATCTCCCATCCCTACTTCTAGCACACTGTAGAGCGTGGGAGGCTAAAATGATAAAGGAAAAATACCCCAGAGAACTTATGGCCATGGCCTGATCCTAACACAAATTTTTTTTTTAAATGTATATCCAGTGTTATGGTTTGAATGTGTTTTTCGAAAAGTATGCTTTGGAAATTTAATCCCCAATGCAACAGTATTGAAAGCTGGGCCTAAGGGAGGGGGTTTAGGTCATGAGGGTTCCACCCTCATGAATGGATTAATGTCAATTATAAAAGGGCTTGAGGTTGCAAGTTCAATCTCTCGATCTCTCTCACCTTCTCTTTGCCCTTCTACCATAACACAGCAAGAAGGCCACGGTCAGATGCTGGCCCCTTGATCTCAGACTTCCCAGCCTTCAGAACCATAAGCCAGTAAATTTATTTTCATTTGAAATTACCCAGTTCGTGGTATTCTGTTTTAGCAGCAGAAATGGACTAAGACATCCAGGGAACCCAAAATGTAAAATTGGTTAAAGGTGGTTTCAGACTGTGGTGCACCAGGTACCTGGAAGAAACAAAAGTAAATCCTTTAATTAAAAAGGCATTTTCAGGAATCTAGGCTTCAGGAGTCTCCCAAAATATTTATTCACAGATAATAAGCACACAAGGCAGCAATATCATGAGCAAGAAATAACCAAAACAATAATTTAGGGAAATAGATAAGCAAATAATTCAGATATTAGAATTATTATATATAGCTTATAAAATAACTATGCTTAGTCTACTTAAACAAATAAAAAGATAACCCTGAAAGTATTTTCAAGGAATAGGGAGTTCTAAAACAAAACCTAGTATATTTGTAGAAAAACAAAAAAGAACTTGTATAATTAAAAAATAATAAAATGTAAAACTCTAAGTACATTAAACATTGCTAAGAAGTAATTTAGTAAAATAAAAGAGAGGACATATAAAATGATCCAAATGCAGCAAAAAGAAACAAAAATATGAAATATATGGAAGGAATGCTAAGAGATATAGAAAAAAAGATGAAAAATCCCAACATTCTTTTAATGTGAAGGGAAGGAAAAAGAGGAGGGTGCAGAGACAATATTTTAAAATATATAGGCTGAGAGTTTTGTATAATTGATTAAATGCACAAGTTCTTTAGTTTAAAAAGCCCAGTGATTTCCAAGCAGGACTAATAAGAATAAAACCATAATTTAAAATATCATACTGATATTATATATTACCAAAGACAAAGGGAAAATACTTAAAATTTGCCAGAAAAAAAAAGGAGATAACTTTCAAAGGAGTTACTTGCTGAGAGCTGACTTCTCAGCAGAGAAAATATGCATCAAAAATACAGTGGAATATCTTCAATATGCAGGGGGATAACGATTGCCAAATGAGAACTCTAAATTCAGTGAAAATATCTTTCAAGAATAAGGATGAAGCTAGGTGACATCAATAAAAATGGCAGAATAAAGACCTCTAAAAATTATTTCTCTACATGAAAGCAATGAGCAACAGTGTAATACTTGACAGAAATTTCTGAATTTTTTCAGAATTCTAGAAACTAACCAAATGCAAAAATATAGGAAATATTTTTTCAAGAAAAACAACTGAAACTTGAATAGTGAGCTTTGTGTTGCTGTAATTTACCCTATTCCCATCCTCTCTTCTCACCTTGAAAATGAACAGCACCTTGAAAATGAATAGTCACAATCATGGTGAAAACCAGAAGTCTGTCGGGCACCGGAAAGGGAAGAATGGGGCTAAGCTTCCTTCAAAGCCCCATTCTCAGAAGATTGTTGTTTTATCTGTTGGTGGTTCCCTGGAAAACCCCATCCACAAATTTGTCTTTAACCTGACTCAGAGCTCATTCAGTGTAAACAGCCATATCCTTAGGGACTGTATTAGTCTGTCTTGCATTACTATAAATAAATACCTGAGACGTAATAATTTATAAAGAAAAGAGGTTTTGCAGGCTGTACAAGCATGGCACCAGCATGTCCTCAGCTTCTGGTGAGGCCTCAGGGACCTTACAGTCATGGCAGAAGGCAAAGGGAGAGCTGGTATGTCACTTGGCCAGTGAGGTAACAAGAGAGGGCGGAGGAGGTGCCAGACTCCTTTAATCAACCAGCTCTCATGTGAATTCACTCATTACCAGGGGAAGGTCACGGTTCTGGCAGGCTGTATAAGCATGGTACCAGCATGTGTTCAGCTCTTGGTGAGGCCTCAGGGAGTTTACAGTCATGGCAGAAGGCAAAGGGGAAGGCACTATGTCTCATGGTAAGTGAGGGAACAAGCAAGGAAGGAGGTGCCAGAATCCTTTAAACAACAAGTTCTTACATAAAATTCCAGAGTGAGAACTCATCATTACCATGGGAAGGTCATCAAATCATTCAGGAGGGATCTATTCCCATGACCCAAACACCTCCCACTAGGCCATACCGCCAAGATCAGAAATTATATTTCAACAGGAGATTTGAAGAAGACACACTTTCATACCATATAAGGTGTGTTTGTCAAATACATTTAAGGGCAATTACCTAAAATTGTATACAATTGTTAGGGCAACAACAGGCTAGCCAAAAAGGTTAAAAGGAAAGTCTCGGGATTAGATGTCCAAAGAAGAGTCTGAAAAACTGCAACATATTCTTGCAATATAGAAGGCAGAGCATATATATAGGACCGTGTGAATACTCAGGAAAATCCTGAGAAGGCTGAACCCCTCTTACTTCTGGCTAAACTGGAGGCTCTATGCAAGGAGAAAGTAAAATTTTACTTTTTGTTAACTGCCTAGATGAATGTTAAAAGCATGCCACAACAAATATATCAAATCTCTCAGAAAAGACTTGGAGTCTTATTGGTTGCAGGCATTTAAGAAAATCATTATCTAATCATTACTTGATTACTAACCTAGCTAAGCAGAGCTTTCACTGGTAACACATAACAAAGAATACAGACCTTAGCATATTAATTTGGAAAAGTTGCTAAACAAACAACTATCTACTCCAATTAGCAGACACCAACAACAGATCCTGAGGAGAAGGAGGAATTTGATTTCCAGAGTTTTCATATTACATTATTTTAAATCTCCAAGTTTTGACAAAAAAATAATTATAATATGTGCAAAGAAATAAAGTATGGCTCATACACAGGGGAGAAACATAGTAAAAATAAACTACCCTTGAGAAAGACCAAATGTTGAACCTCCTAAACAAATTATTTATTTATTTATTTAAGACAGAGTCATTGTCTTAAACAGATTAAAACAGAGACTCTGTTCCCCAGGCTGGAGTGCAGCGGTGCACTCTTGGGTCACTACAACCTCTGCCTCCCAGGTTCAAGTGATTCTCATACCTCAGCCTCTTGAGAAGCTGAGATTACAGGTGTGAGCCACCACACCAGGCTAATTTTTATATTTTTAGTATAGACTGGTTTCACCACGCTGGTCAGGCTGGTCTTGAACTCCTGACCTCAGGTGATCTGCCTGCCTTGACCTCCCAAAATGCCGGAATTATAGGCATGAGCCACCGTGCCCAGCCTGACAAAGAATTCAAATTAGCTAGCTTAAATATGTTAAAGTAAGTAAAGGAAGCCATGGTTAAAGAACTTAAGAGGCCAGGTACAGTGGCTTGTGCCTGTAATTCCAGCACTTTGGGAAGCTGAGATGAAAAAAATTAGTTGAGGCCAGGAGTTTGAGACCAACTTGGTTAACATAGTGAGAGCCTTTCTCCACAAAATTTAAAAAATTAGCCAGGCATAGTGGCACATGGGTATAGTCCTAGCTACTCAGGAGGTTGAAGCAGGAGGATCATTTTTGCCCAGAGCCTTGAGGCTGTAGTGAGCTATGATTGAGCTACCAGACTCTAGCCTGAGCAACAGAGCAAGACCTTGCCAAATAAATAACTTAAGAAAAGTATGAGAACAATGTCTCACCAAAGAGTATTTTTTCTTAAAAAAAAAAAAAAGAAAGATAGAAATTATAGAAAAGGAACAAACTTGAAAAGTACAATAACAGAAATGAAAATTTCACTTGAGGGGTCAAGTAAAGACTTAAGTAGGTAGAAGAAAGCATCATGAACCATGATAAATTCAGATGATCAAATCCAATGGACAGAAAAATAAAATGAAGAAAAATAAATGAAGCTTCAGAGACCTGTGAGACACCACTAAACATACCAACATAAGCAAAATGACAGTTTTCTCCTTCTCTTTGAAGGAGAGAAGATAAAGCTTTAGAAAGAATAGTTGAAGAAATAATAGCTGGAAACTTCAAAAATTTGATGCAAATATTAATCAGCACATATAATAAACTTAGCAAAATTCAAATAGGATAAACTCAAAGAAAGCCACAATTAGAGACATTATAATCTAATTGGTGAAAGTCAATAACAAAGAGTAAATTTGAGGGCAACAAAAAAGAAACATCTCATCATGTAGAAGGAATCCTTAATAAAATTTACAGCCAATTTCTCATCAAAAGCATGGAAGTCAGAAGGCAGTGGGCAGACATATTTAAAGGGCTGAAAGAAAGACTATCAACCAATAATTACATCATCCAGTAAAACTATCCTTCAAAAATGAAAAATAAAATTAAGATTTTTCAAGATAAATGAAACTGAATTTGTCAGAAGCATATCTCCATACAAAAAAGGGAATCCTGTAAGAGAAAATGAAAGAACACTAGATAGCAACTCAAGCCACATAAAAAAAATAAAGAGTACCACTCAAGATAACTAAATAATTATAAAATGCTGTCTACATGTATTTTTTGGTTTGGAATTCTTTTTTTTTTTTTAATAAAATCTATCTAATTTTTAAAACTGCTCTGTATAGGAATGATTGTAATTAGTGTTGTTGAACAAATAAGGCATAAAGATATAATTTGTATAACAATAACAGCACAAAGGAGGGGAGGATGAGGATCTATAGGAGCAAAGTTTTTTCATATGATTGTAATTATGTTGTTATTATTTTGAAATAGATTGTTATAAAATTAAATTTCAATTATAATCCCTAAGACAACCACCAAGAATATAACTCAAAAAATAAAAAAGTAAAAGAAATGTCAAGGTATTTTAAATGGTACAGTATAAATTATCTTGTAGACAGTATCCAGTTGGATCATTTTTTAAGTCTATTCAATCAATCCCTGTTCTTTAGTTGGAGAATTTATTCTATGAACATTAATATACTTACTGGAATGATTTATGTTTGCTGCATTTTGTTATTTGTTTTTTTTTTTTTTAATTTTTTATTGGATTATAGGTTTTGGGGTACATGAGCAGAGCATGCAAGACAGTTGCGTAGGTACACACATGGCAGTGTGCTTTGCTTTTCTTCTCCCCTTCACCCACATTTGGCATTTCTCCCCAGGCTATCCCTCCCCACCTCCCCCTCCCACTGGCCCTCCCCTTTTCCCCCCAATAGACCCCAGTGTTTAGTACTCCCCTTTCTGTGTCCATGTGTTCTCATTTTTCATCACCCACCTATGAGTGAGAATATGCGGTGTTTCATTTTCTGTTCTTGTGTCAGTTTGCTGAGGATGATGTTCTCCAGATTCATCCATGTCCCTACAAACGACACGAACTCATCATTTCTGATTGCTGCATAATATTCCATGGTGTATATGTGCCACATTTTTCCAATCCAGTCTATTATCAATGGGCATTTGGGTTGATTCCAGGTCTTTGCTATTGTAAACAGTGCTGCAATGAACATTCATGTACATGTGTCCTTAAAGTAGAACGATTTATAGTCTTTTGGATATATACCCAGTAATGGGATTGCTGGGTCAAATGGAATTTCTATTTCTAAGGCCTTGAGGAATCGCCACACTGTCTTCCACAATGGTTGAACTAATTTACACTCCCACCAACAGTGTAAAAGTGTTCCTTTTTCTCCACATCCTCTCCAGCATCTGTTGTCTCCAGATTTTTTAATGATCGCCATTCTAACTGGCGTGAGATGGTATCCCAATGTGGTTTTGATTTGCATCTCTCTGATGACCAGTGACGATGAGCATTTTTTCATATGACTGTTGGCCTCATATATGTCTTCTTTCGTAAAGTATCTGTTCATATCCTTTGCCCATTTTTGAATGGGCTTGTTTGTTTTTTTCCTGTAAATCTGTTTGAGTTCTTTGTAAATTCTGGATATCAGCCCTTTGTCAGATGGGTAGACTGCGAAAATTTTTTCCCATTCTGTTGGTTGCCGATCCACTCTAGTGACTGTTTCTTTTGCCGTGCAGAAGCTGTGGAGTTTCATTAGGTCCCATTTGTCTATTTTGGCTTTTGTTGCCAATGCTTTTGGTGTTTTGTTCATGAAGTCCTTGCCTACTCCTATGTCCTGGATAGTTTTGCCTAGATTTCCTTCTAGGGTTTTTATGGTGCCAGGTCTTATGTTTAAGTCTTTAATCCATCTGGAGTTAATTTTAGTGTAAGGTGTCAGGAAGGGGTCCAGTTTCTGCTTTCTGCACATGGCTAGCCAGTTTTCCCAACACCATTTGTTAAACAAGGAATCCTTGCCCCATTGCTTGTTTTTGTCAGGTTTATCAAAGATTGTATAGTTGTATGTATGTTGTGTTGCCTCCGGTGCCTCTGTTTTGTTCCATTGGTCTATATCTCTGTTTTGGTACCAGTACCATGCTGTTTTGATTACTGTAGCCTTGTAGTATAGTTTGAAATCCGGTAGTGTGATGCCCCCCGCTGTGTTCTTTTTGCTTAGAATTGACTTGGCTATGCGGGCTCTCTTTTGGTTCCATATGAAGTTCATGGTGGTTTTTTCCAGTTCTGTGAAGAAAGTCAATGGTAGCTTGATGGGGATAGCATTGATTCTGTAAATTACTTTGGGCAGTATAGCCATTTTCACGATATTAATTCTTCCTAACCATGAACATGAAATGTTTCTCCATCTGTTTGTGTCCTCTCTGATTTTGTTGAGCAGTGGTTTGTAGTTCTCCTTGAAGAGGTCCCTTACGTTCCTTGTGAGTTGTATTCCAAGGTATTTTATTCTTTTTGTAGCAATTGCGAATGGCAGTTCGCTCTTGATTTGGCTTTCTTTAAGTCTGTTATTGGTGTAGAGGAATGCTTGTGATTTTTCACATTGATTTTATATCCTGAGACTTTGCTGAAGTTGTTTATCAGTTTCAGGAGTTTTTGGGCTGAGGCAATGGGGTCTTCTAGGTATACTATCATGTCGTCTGCAAATAGAGACAATTTGGCTTCCACCTTTCCTATTTGAATACCCTTTATTTCTTTTTCTTGCCTGATTGCTCTGGCTAGAACTTCCAGTACTATATTGAATAGGAGTGGTGACAGAGGGCATCCTTGTCTAGTGCCAGATTTCAAAGGAAATGCTTCCAGTTTTTGCCCATTCAGTATGATATTGGCTGTTGGTTTGTCATAAATAGCTTTTATTACTTTGAGATACGTTCCATCGATACCGAGTTTATTGAGGGTTTTTAGCATAAAGGGCTGTTGAATTTTGTCAAATGCCTTCTCTGCGTCAATTGAGATAATCATGTGGTTTTTGTTTTTGGTTCTGTTTATGTGGTGAATTACGTTGATAGACTTGCGTATGTTGAAACAGCCTTGCATCCCCGGGATGAATCCTACTTGATCATGATGAATAAGTTTTTTTATTTGCTGTTGCAATCGGCTTGCCAATATTTTATTGAAGATTTTTGCATCTATGTTCATCATGGATATTGGCCTGAAGTTTTCTTTTCTCGTTGGGTCTCTGCCGGGTTTTGGTATCAGGATGATGTTGGTCTCATAAAATGATTTGGGAAGGATTCCCTCTTTTTGGATTGTTTGAAATAGTTTTAGAAGGAATGGTACCAGCTCCTCCTTGTGTGTCTGGTAGAATTCAGCTGTGAACCCGTCTGGACCTGGGCTTTTTTTGTGTGGTAGGCTCTTAATTGCTGCCTCAACTTCAGACCTTGTTATTGGTCTATTCATAGTTTCAGCTTCCTCCTGGTTTAGGCTTGGGAGGACACAGGAGTCCAGGAATTTATCCATTTCTTCCAGGTTTACTAGTTTATGCGCATAGAGTTCTTCGTAATATTCTCTGATGATGGTTTGAATTTCTGTGGAATCTGTGGTGATTTCCCCTTTATCATTTTTTATTGCATCTATTTGGTTGTTCTCTCTTTTATTTTTAATCAAT